TTTTAAGGAAAAAATGGAGGGACGGAAGGTAGTTCAGGGAAGGGCCGGGCCCCCCCCCCAATAACTATCTGATGCCTGCTTCTCATATGCAGAGGAACGGTATTCACTATAGAAGTACAAGGCCCCCTAAATCAAACCACAAACTTTAAAAGAAAACTTCTCCCTACTACTCAGTCCCAGACAAACTATCTAAGGAAAAAGAAGGGGAAAGAATATTAGTAGAAAGAGTATTTTGTTATTGAAAGCCCATCCTTGTATGTCTCATGCTTAGCTAACAATCAATTTCTATAGAACTGTTTAGGAATGGGAAGAACAATGTGAGGTAAAGCTCAAATTCCACATCTTTCTGCATGTACAGAGGTTCGATGCGATTATTCCCTCTACGACTTTAGCCATTACCTTTTTCTGTATTGCTCCGATTACTTTTTCCTGTAGTTCTTGAGTGGAATGAAGCAGAATCATGATTCTGTGCAGGAGGTGCAAACAGTGGTGGAATTCCCAAGAGCGGTGGGAAAAAAGCTGCCCCGTGACGAGAGTGTGTATCCGCTGTTCGCCACCATTCTGCACCACAAAGAAAATAAAAACAAACTTCAGTTGTTCTAATAATATATTTAAATATTTCTGCAAGCATGTTGCTGTATACATAATCTACAGCAGATTTACTAAATCTGGAAGTAAGAAGAAAACACAACACTTAGGAACTTCTTAAATTACATGAATTTCCTGCAGCAATTCTGGTTTTAAGTCATTAAAGCCATTCTGGTAAAGATTTCAATGCAGTTTTATTTAAATGCATTCTGAAAATAAATACTTAATAGAAAGCTATGAGACAGTGATCACCCCAAAATGAAACTGCTAGTCTTATAAACAGGATCAATATTCACAGGTCACTCTTGAACATTCATTATTACCCTCAGCAGTCTTCCTACATCGGAACTATGAAAAAAGCACAACAGCTTTAAGTTACCTCTGCGATCTCAGTCTTGGAATAATACTCCAAGGCCTCCACCACAAAAACACATCTGAAGCAGTTCCCCATGAAATGACCTATTTAATACAGGAATCTCTAGCTACTCTATAGTAACTCTGTACCCATTCTAAGAGGTTTCTACCCTGGAGTTTGACACTGAATTGGAAAAAAGCAGTCTATTTTTTTCCTGTAACATCCCTATTAAAATGGTTGTTTCACAACCAGAAACAGAACTACTCTGTGCTGCTTGTTACATAAATTAAAGTAGTCAAGCAAGGAATAAAGATTTCTTATTTTAAAAACAATTTAATACTCTTTTTTGCTTTTGTTGCCGTTTTAAACTTTCATCTTAAATGGTTATTGATTTTTGTTTTCCAGGAAAATGTACTTCAAATGAGTTGATATGGTCACTACAACTTTCAATTTTTAAAGTTCTTTTACTATAGCAGCAACTATTTAGAATATTTATGCAACCCTTATACTTTTCTGCAGATTCTTGAAACTCTGCAAGACCAGACTTTTTTTTTTTTTTTTTACAAGGCACTGCTAAGCCTAAACCACCATGTAAGAGAGAAATATCCACTGCACTGCTCTTGTCATAGGTTTCTGTGCTTAAACAGGAGCCCAGAAATGGTGTGCAGATTTGCATAGAGGATTTCCTTGGAAGTGTCAGGGTCTTCTTTTATAATAGCTGTTGCAGTAGCTACAACAACATTTTGCAACGCATTTATTAGTCAACAACTGAAAAAACCACAAAGCATAACTAAAGAACCACCTTTCAAATCCCTCTGAAGGGAAAGAAACTTTTGAAAGAAGATCCTATGTTAAAAGTTACATATGCGAGAGAGAGAAATGTGTGTGTTTGGAAAAAAAAAAATGCAGTAATATTTTGTCAGGAAAATCACTTCCAAACTTCTCTTAAAACTAACTCTCCCCACCCACCACCAATCAAAACAGAAATGATATCACATTACAAGAAGCAGAATAATCAGAAACATGACACACAAATGCCATTGTGACAAGGGCTAGAAACATATGTTCAGTCTACATAAACCCTAAATCTAACAAGCAAGTGCACATAAAATAATACAAGTTGTGGAAGAGGTGGTTATCAATTGGTCAGGTCCTACACTGGCTATACGACCCTGTGAAGGTGTTTAAAGGGTAGCAACGCTAAGTGTTTTGGTACAGTTGACTCATACAAAGAAGCTGTTAAAACACTGCTTTTTTTATGCTTAAAATATCAGATTTTTGAGTATGCTTTCCAGTCTTACAGTGAAAGCCATTATGTAACACAAACACTAAAAACACACTGGAAGGCACAATCTACACAAGTAACAGGATGGACTAGGTGGTAAGCAAGTCTTTTCTGACTTCTGTGATTGACTGTTTTTCCTCTTTTTGAAACTTATTTCTTTAGGTCTGAATTGCAATTATAATTTTTTTTGAACCCTGAAACATAGCATAAGTTGTGGCATACATTCAGGAAGGAAACAGTTTTGCATAATATCCCTGTGAACAGGTGAGAAAGAGCAAAATCTGTGGTTTGGCCCACTGGCATGTTTCCTTTCTTAAAACAAAAATACCAAGTTTTGTACATTACGAGGACGAGAATTGTGCCATAAGTATATAACTTCTGCTATTTTACACACATACATTACCAGTGTGACTAAAATAATTAAACCATATAGTTGAGCAGGATTTAGATTCTAATGCATTTTAAGACAGTTATTTCATATCGCTATAAAACACATTAAGAAGATAAGGAAAGTAAGAAATAGCTACGTTAAGTATAAGGATGTCACATACAGTAATTAAGACTCTTAATAAATACATAAATGAAGTTTGAACAATGTTAATAAACAAATTTTAACCTGCCAGTGTCAAGACACTGAAATTGTAATAACATACATCACAGTGATTTGAAAATGTTATAAATGAAAGATTCTAATTGCTAGAAAGACACAAAATATGGCTAGAATACCAGCAATGAAAACAGAAGACTGGACACTCTAGAGCAACAATTCCAAAACTTTCATCATGGTACGATAAGCAGGCTGTGATTGATCTGCAAAAACTTCACATTATTCTATTATCTTAAATTTGGAATTTAAGCATAGTGATACATAGTAGTTTTGTATGTATTCTGAGTGGTCCCACAAAGTTACAGAATCATTGCTTTGGAATGTACTAACCAAGAAATGTAAAAACAGTGGTCACCAGATAATATATATAAAATAGTACACATGCAGACAAACTGCTACCGAATTAAGGACAAAGGTGCCATTCAAAGGCTTAAGCAAGATTATAACAACTACAGACAGCTAGACTGCCTAAGATAACTTCTGAGCGATTTATTGTATTATCAAGATCTATGGAAAATACCACCCTTCAATGAGACGGCAAAACCAAAATTGTAAGATTATTAATTTTTCCCCCTACACTTATTTACCCAGGTACATGAATATAAAACGCCCATCTTTACAGACATGAGCATCTCAATTTTTAGTTGAAACTTTTAAGAACATCACAGAAGGTCAGAAAATTGTCTAAGGTCAGATGCAGAGTTCTTTCATTCCTACTTCAGCAAAAATAAGATTTTCTCAATGAAGAAAGTTTCTCTTGCAAAATGGAACAAAGTCAATGGAAGCTATGAACAACTACCATCCCTTATAAGCAAAGCTTAAAACGAGTACCCATTAGCTCTGCTGCACTAACACACGTTAGATGGCTGTTACAAGTGAATGAATCTTTTCATATAATAAAAAAATTCACTGCATGAGAACATTACAAATGAATCAGTATTCACTGCTTTTTGAAGTATTTTTCCCCTCCTTACTTCACCTCTGCATGCATTTCTTTCAGATGCTTTTGCTTTGTGTAGGTATGTATACAGTATCTCATTATCCTCCCAGTAACAAAAAGTTCTGCTTTTACTCCTCTGGCATTAATAACTAAAACAAAATTCTGTCATTCGTATCAAACAAAATTTTAAAAATACTAAAAGATCTCTTTGCAGTATTTGCTGTAGGTTTTTACCAGTACCTAATCCTACACTCCTAAAACTCTACCGGTGGTGGAATCCCACAATCGTAAATTCTACCGGGGGGGCAAGGGGAGGCACAGGTGGACACACAGGGCCTGGCCAGCCAAGGAAAGAGGAGGTCTCCTCAAGATGGTCTCCACTTCCTGGCAGGAATATATTTTCTTCAAACTACAGAAAAAGTGAATTAATAAGCACCTTGACTTACTGCATACTTTGGAGAATGCAAACAGTATTTAGTTTACTTTAGAAAGCTTTGTTCTCAGATGTAAGATTTACAGAGTATGCAAGACTGGAAAACACTAGCCGAGTAACTGACATCTTATGGTGGAAGTCACATGCATCATTTTGTATGCATCTCTTTTGTGCAATACGTTGATATTTTGAAGGATGGGAGACTACTGACTTTACAAGATACCACAAAAAAATTCCCTTTACTTATGAATAAAATCAAGTAAGAAACAAGATCATGCCGGCCAATCGTATTACAGACAAATGATATATCTGTAATAGTACTTTCAAGAATTGTGGTTATGCAATCAACACACCCATGTAATGAAGAAGGATGTTACCTTGTGATGGAAAGAATAAAAAAGATCAAGCACTACTTTGTTTCTTGGAAGACTACTGTGAAAACACTGGTCCTGAGAAACTCAGCCAACATATTTATTTCTTCTCATCAGAATCGTCCTGGATTTAAATCAAGCCTATAGTCTGAAGTCTTTTGCCTGAAGTCTTTTACAAAGTCTGCCTGGGGGTGAAGACAGTTAACCCTCTTCTTTAGTTTAATATTCCTTGCAACAATGTTTACCTGGAAAAGATGCTAGCTGGGGATGTGCTGCTAAGGCTGTGGGTGTACCAAGTGTTCCCAAGCCACCAAACTCTGCATACCGTGAACTGGCTGCATACGGACCAAAGACTGGGTGACTGAACACTGGGAAGGCACTCGATACAGTGGACAGCTTACACAGCTGATCCCCAGCTGTTCTGAATGTATGCCCTGAGGGGAAAAAACAACACTTGAAATTGCACTATCCAAACAGATGCTGTGAAGTCCAACCTCAAGGTTAAAAAAATTTTATTAAAAAACTTTTATATTTTAAAAGCTATCGTTAAGTTTTACATATAGTATCTTCTTCCAGTATTGGCATTGTACTTCTACAAGACAGAAAATATCTGAAAACATGAGCAACTCTAACAAAATGTTTGTAAGTAAAAATGAAAAAAGGTATTATATTTGCCATGGCAATTTCTGTTAGCAGTGGAAGAGAGTCTGTTCCTTTAACATACTGGGATCAGAAACAGAGGAGTATCCTTTTATAAGCAGATCTGTTTGACATATCTATCCTTAATACACATGAAACATCCTATTTCAGAGATCAACAGGGGCCTACAAAACACACGATGCACAAACTAATAATGAAATACACAAAATAACAAAGGTTATCTTGCACACATTTTGTAAATTTTAAAATAGAACTCAAAACCCCCAGTAACTTCAGTCATTTTTTGAGATCTAAAATGAAATGTATGTAAGCTAGTTTTTGAAAACAATTTAAAGAAAGTTCTATTGATCATGAACAAATTATCCATTCGTAGGCACTTCTACATTCAGCCCTTACTGGTATCAAAAGTACAAAATAGAATTTCTAGGGAAGCCATTAGCTTTGCTTTGTAGAAGTTGTGAAACTGCTATTATATTGCTTAAACACTGTATTTCGTTTTTTTAGCTATGGTCCTAGATGAATTACATTGAATTAAACACAGCTCAATTTCCGAAGATGATCCAAAAAAACAAACAAAAAAAGCCATTTTAAATGGCAGATATACATTACTCCTAAATCTTTTCATTACTCCTAAATCTTTTTCCACAGCAGTTAGTTTTAATCTCACACTATTTATATTTTCAAAGCTCATAACTTCATTTAAAACTCCTAGAATACCAATTTCCAATCCTGCGATCAACCAACAGGAACCGTTACAATGCTTTGTCTGACTTCTGTCAACAGTCACGTCAAGTGACTTCACCAGTCAAGCTTGGATATGTTACAGCTGTTTGTAGCCTCCATTTTGGTAAGACTCCTCTCCTTTTCTTGACTGACTTAAAGCCAATTCCGCCCCATCCCCCACCCCCAAAAAAAACTGTTTTCATAGAATCACAGAATCATAGAATAGTTTGGGTTGGAAGGGACCTTTAAAGGTCATCTAGTCCAACCCCCCTGCCGTGGGCAGGGACATCTTCTACTAGATGAGGTTGCTCAGAGCCCCGTCCAACCTGACCTTGAATGTTTCCAGGCATGGGGCATCACGTAGCTGGACTTGAACAGCAGCATCCAAAAAGTAAAGGCACTTTTAAGACAGACATTTTTTAAACAACTCTCACCATTCCTCTTTTTTTTTTTTTCCTCCTTTTTAAATTAACAGGGTTACCTAATTAAAAACAAAACAAAACAAAACAAAACAAAAAAAAAAAAAAAAAAACCCAAAAAAACCAAAACCAAAACACACCAGTCTACAGAAAAGGTTTTCAATCTGTGGCTTTAATGAACAGAAGAAGGAAAAATAGGTCTGGTGTCTACAAACTTAGCAGTCTGTGGTATGCATTTCCCTTAGAAAAGATTTAGGAGTACACAAATCTAAAATAGCGTAAACCCCTGGGATGAGACACTGAGAAACTGTCTTTTTCAACAGTCTACATTAAGACCTCTCAGTACTGGTTTAAGTTTTAGTGTTTTGGTTCTTTTCTTACTTAGTAGATTTATTTGAAGTGGAACAGGTTGCCCTGAGACAATGTGCAGTCCCAGTCCTTGGAGGTTTCCAAAACCAGACTGGTTAAGAGCCTGGGCAACATGGTCTGACCCTGTAGAACGATCCTGCTCTTCAGACTAGAGGCCTCCTGACGTCCCCTCCAACCTGAGTTTTCCTATGATCCTACAAACTTACAAGCATTTCTCAGTGTAAACTCAGGACAATATCCCAACGATATTTTTATTTTGCAGACATATTTCAGAAATATGCATTACTCAATTCCAATCCAACTATTTTAATTACTCTTTTTCAAGAATCCAGTTCTTTACCTCATTTTCATACTATTTCATCATCATCTTATAAGCTGTAATCTGTGATAACTTCTTAAGAGTCAAGAACTGGTTTTCTTTACTTTTTAAATCTATATAACAAGGCAAACGTTTTCTTTGCCTATATAGGTGATGAAAGCAGTGAGAATCAATATTACCACAAGCACCTCTACACGCATGTAAGAACAAATTATTTACAACTTAGTTTAGCAGCTCATGTGAAACTTTACACACAGTTATGACAGATATACCTAAAAATATAGCAAATATTTAGTAGTAAGTAAAAACATTTCTTTTAACTAGATAATTTTGCTTCCAATTTAAATTTTTAATTTACAGAGCTCTTGCCAGTGTTCTGTACCATTCTAGTACCTTATAACTTACGTAAGTTTGTTTTTTGTTTTTTGTTTTTTTTTTTAATTTTGTTACTGTTGTATAGTAACATGCATTAGGTATAAGCATAAAGGCCATTTTAAGCTTCTTTCTTGTAATTTGTTAGTGTCCAGGACAAGATTCTGACCTGACTCTTGACACTAGTATAGCTATATCAGAATGATGCATTTCCCATTATGATGGCATACAGTGGACACACTGCAAACTCTCATAACCATCATGTACCTAACAGTCACCGCTTCTAGCCAAATCAGGCCACCACTGTAATTTGACTCGAGGATAGAACCAGCCAATGCAAGGACATCTTTGAAAGGTCGTGCAAATTAGGGGAGGTCTCCAACAACTGGAGAAATGTCAATCTTGCACCCATCTTCAAAAAAGACCAAGAGGATAATAATCAAAGGAACTACAAAACAGTCACACTTATGCTAGTCCCCTGGAAAATAATGCAGTGAGCCCTCTATGTGAACCATGTAGGAACACATTCCTGGGCACATGCAGAATGCCTTCCATGATAAAATTACTGGGTTTATGGACAAGAGGGTAACAGTTCATGTCACTAACCCCTAAGCAAGCATGGCTTTCGATACTGTCTCCCACAAATACTCCTTAATCCAAATTAGGACATTATGGTCTGGATGGGGTGACTAGATGGGTAAGAAAACAGTGGGATGCTCAGAGGGTAATGGTTAACGGGCCCTACTCTACCTGGATGACTGTGACAAGTGGAGTACTGCAGCGTTTTATCCTGGGATCTGTGCTGTCATCTTTACCAATGACCCAGAGTGGGAAATGGAGTGTTTTCTCATGAAGTTTGTGGAAGACATCAAACTGGGGGGACAACTCAAGCCATTTGAGGAAAGGGCTGGTATCCAGGGGGACCTAGACAGGCTGGAGGAATGGATTGGCTGGAACCTTATGAAAGTCAACAAGAACAAAAGCAAAGTCCTGCACATGGGAAGGAATAACCCCTTAGAACAATACAGGCTGGAGACTGACTGGCTGGGAAGCAGCTCTGCACACAAAACTCTAGGGGTTTCGGTGGACACCAAGCTATACATTAGCCAGCAGTGTGCCCTGGCACCAAAGGTCAGCAGCAAGCTAGGCTATATGAGCAGGAGCACAGCCAGCAGAGCAGGGGAAGTAAATATCCCTCTTAACTCAGTACTCTTCAGACTGCATTTAGAATACCACATACTGTTTTGGGTCCCAAAAACTAGACAGACACTGATCTCAAAGCTGACCTTGCTGTGATTATGAGGCTGAACTAGATGACCTCCTGAAGTCCTTTCCAAGCTTCATTTTTTCAATGATCTAAGACTACAGATATGCAGAGAACCACGGTAGTTCTGAATAAACAAGTAGCAACTGCCAGAAGCACTCTAGCTATGGACGTTGAACTTCCAGAAGGCCAATTTACTGTACTTCTCAGCAGGATTAATTAACCTATGGGATCACCAGCACAGTGATATCACTTGTTACAGCCTAACCAGCTTGACCTTTTGATGTATTTTACTGAACTACAAAGACTTACCCTACACATGTTGGGGGGAATCTCATTCATGTATGTAAGAAGTCTCTCACTGCAAGGAGTGTCCTACCTGAACAATTTGCCCCTTTGCCCTAGCACAGAAATAGCACCATTTGAGTTTTCAGTAAACGCATTTCTTGAAGAGGGGCAGACAATAACCCCCCTCTACTCTCTAGGCACTGTTTGTTGGGGGTGGGCAGTGGAGAGAATTATCTTGCTGCTAGATGACAAATGACAGTAGAGGTGGACTACAGTGAGTATCTTCCAAGATTTGTCTTCTACAGGGTGGCTATAACATGTTTGTTGAACAGATCATTTCAGTAAATTTTACACTGTTCTTCAGACCTCCTGCCAGAAGCACAGAAATTTTTACGTGCAACAATGAAAATGCCAACCAGTCTAGTCACAGTGCTTATTTAAAACTTTCCAGGGCAGGTATGGATCCAATTCAATACCCTCTAGCAACCATTTTTTTATTACACATTCTCATGAAGAAATAAATGCATTACAGAAAACCTGTTCCACCTTCAAGCATTGTCTTCAGTCACGCCACCGTGATAAAACTTACACATTTCAGAAAGTCAATAATGAGTACATCCCATCATTATCATGAAAATCAGACTGGGATAATTAGAAGTTGATTAGGTTCTTCTTATTAGAAAGCCATTGTCCCATTGCCAGGCTTTCACCTTAAAAATTACTGTATCAAAAATTTCATGGCTTCATCCCTCTGCAAAACTGGAATGAATGAACTAACAGAAGATGCAAGCTATTCTTCACCTCTCTTCAAGAAAATCATCAGAACAAGCAACACACATTGAGCAATTCTATCTGTAGAAATGAAATGACTAAAAAGTGATTCAAACCAGCAAAAGAACCACTAGAAATCTTAGAGGAAAGCCTCATCGAGTAACAGTTAAGCTCTGTCTTGTCACCTTCATATTTCTTGTTGGAGGAATGTCCATTGTTTATTAAAAAAAAAAAAATCACCAGGGAATT